AGCCGGATATTGGGACGAAAGCAACAGTTTTTGGATTGTAACCAACACGTTTGATAAAACCGGATACTTCTTTAATGATTTCGTTGAAACGTTCTTCTGACCAACTGGTTGTGTCCATTTTATTAACGGCAACAATGAGTTGTTTTACACCGAGAGTATAAGCCAAAAGAGCATGTTCACGAGTTTGACCATCTTTGGAAATACCGGCTTCAAATTCACCAGTACCGGCAGCAATAATTAAAATAGCACAATCAGCCTACGGCATCAAAAAAAAAGGGGAATAATTTTAGCAAAAACATGTAATACACAAGTTAAAGTGATCTAAAATCAAATATCCCTTGGAAATTTTAGCTTGATTCACTGAATAAATTATTCATTTTTGGAATGATTTTTGAAAATCGTGTTCTTTGTGTCAAGAGTTAAAGACTTTAACCGAAAAAAAAATGTGAAATTTACCTGAGAAGTACCAGTAATCATGTTTTTGATGAAATCACGATGTCCCGGAGCATCAATGACAGTGACATAATATTTTGGAGTTTCGAACTTCCAGAGAGCGATATCGATGGTGATACCACGCTCACGTTCTGCTTTTAGTTTATCCAAAACCCAGGCATATTTAAATGAACCTTTTCCAAGTTCTGCAGCTTCTTTTCTGTATTATGCAAATCAAAAAAAAAAAAATCAAAAAAAAATAAAGAGAAATTTTTTAATTTTTTCCTATGCATCACAAGTAGTATTCAAATCAATAAAAGGTGTCAATCAAATAAGAAACTTACTCGAACTTCTCTATTGTACGTTTGTCAATACCCTGCAGAATAGAATAAAATTGTGCAAAAAATATTAATTTCTTTGATCAATAATTTTAAAATAATAACTTTATGAATAATCTTTGATATCCATACCCCACACTTGTAGATAAGATGTCCGGTTGTTGTGGACTTTCCAGAATCGACGTGACCAATGACGACAACGTTAACGTGAATTTTTTCTTTACCCATGCTGCCGGAGATGAAAAAAACAGAAAGGTATAAAAAAGAATGTTATTAATATTAAAGTAATGCTAATTTTATGTGAGTGCAAAACACTGTTGTCTCACTTAGTTTGATATTGGTTTTAAAAGGTTGTTAAGTCTTTGTTATTTTATAAAACTTGAAATTACAAATTACTGCGGCCACCACCACACTTTCTCAGCGACCATAAAATTAGATGAAAATTTTTTTTATAGATTTTTTATATCTCGCGATAAAGCATCTTCAAAATCTTTTGATAAAAAGTGATACCAACTCAATGGATGGATGTTTTTAAAAGATGGATGGCAAAAAAATCATTTAATACTTACATTAAAAGATATTAGTATAAAATAAAAATAAAAATACGTAAGGAGTCGTTACAAGAGGGGAAAGGTGAAGAGGGAGAAAATTTTTAAAGTCAAAGCCGACCCCAATATATACTTATTACTGACTCCCCAAATCAGATCTTTGGTCGGATCAAAATGAAAAAAAAAATTTTTTATTAAGATCACTAATTGTTGTTTTTGTGGCCTTTTTTTTTTCGAATGGGGACTTTCCTACAATTAAGGAATGTGATAGGTTGAGTTCGTATCCAAAATTGGATGGATCAATACTGCGGTTATTGACCAAATATTAGTCATTAATTAATAAAAGTGATTTTATTTGTTTAAAAAAAAAAACTTTGTATCATTTGTATCACGAATTCATAACAATAAGCAATTAAACTAAATTGAAGTTGGATCGGAGAAATCAACTATAAGTTCGAAAGAATTTAATTTTGTATATTGTATCAAAAAAAATTGATTTTATTAAGGAAAATAAGGATGAAAAAAACTATAATTGTCAAGGTGCGTTTTGTTTGGACAATATAAAATTTACTTTGTCTTTATTTGCATCTCATGCAATAGCGGGAATAAAATAAAAGTTAATATCCGTGAGTATCAACTGGAAATACTAAGCCTTTCATTTCTGTTAATTTATTTGGCAATTTTTTAGTATTCACAAATTTCTTTCTGACTCGCCTTAAATCTTTATGAATACTATAATCATATAAAGCTTGAGTTGTTAAATGTAGGAGATAACCAAAGAGATCCATTTCTCGATTTTCTTTTCCAAAAGGGCTTAAAACCCATTGCGATGTTGGCGTCGCCTCTGAAATAGGTCGACCAACACCCAATCGGAACCTTGAATGAGAAAATGTGGGGGGGGGGGGGGTTTTTTATTTTTCATTCTTTAAACAATTTACTATGAACTAATTAAAATTTGGTTTTCATACCTAACAAATTCTTTTCCGATCGTCGATACGATGTTTTCTAACCCTTTATGACCTTTCATAGCTGCTAAATCTCCTCCACCTATAAAAGCAAAGCAATCCTTTAGGATCTAGTCATAGTGGCCGCGTATATAAATCATTACAAACTTTGAATCATCAATGCTCCCGGTAAAGTATTCAAGTCATCGGCCACGACCACAAGTTTTTTAGTGTCATTGACCGCAAAATGTTGTAAAACCTTTCGTACAGCCAACCCAGATTCATTCATGGCTGTTAATGGTTTCATCAGAATAACTCTATACGAATTCTATTCGAAAGAAAATAAATAAATAATCCACATATATATTCTTGATTGATGATTATTGCTAAATCACAAACCTCAACAGATCCATTTTTACTGGTAGAGGTAAATATTGTATCGTGTATATCAGCTATATATCAATGAATTCTCTTTTAGTTGTTTTCCTAAAAAAAGGAAAAGATAAGGAAATTCAAATTTAAGCTTATAATGGTCGCTTGCAAAATAATAAAATTTACCGGAAAGATCCAAACGTCGATAAAACTTAGGAAGACTCGGTGCACCTTGCGTGCCTTGTCCTTGAGCGAGCGCCATTGCATTTGCTAGATAGTCAATAAATATATATCCAGCTAAAATAGAAGCCCGTAGGGTGTAAAAAGGTTAGATTAACTAGTTGGCATGATCAGAGGAAGCTTATTCTTATAAAATAGAGTCACAACCATTATGACGTGTTATAGCATATTCAGGTTCTGGATTTCCAAGGCCCACAACAATAATGTCAATTGGTCTGGGCATTTTCAAAGTTTTGAAAAGGTTACAAAATGTTCTATTGTTTATGTCGATCATGCCACTACCATTATCGTTATTTTTAAATGTGGCTAATTGGAATTAATCGAATTGCGAATTTTTTTGCTTTTAAGTTAAATCGGATCCATTAGCTTAAAGAATAAAAATGAATTCATTTTTAAGGATTTTATTTTTTCAAGTCACTATGAAAAAAAAAGTGCTTATCAGGCTTGAATCACGGATGATGCCTTTTCTGATTTAAGGAAATCCGGCAAATAATTTTTATATATTGAATGACAAATTTGTAGTGTTGTAAAAGCTTCTAAACATAAATTCGTAAATTTGCCTGCGATTAATTTATGCATATTCTGAAAAATCGAAACTTAAATCCTAGGAAAAAAAAATGGAACAAAGTAAATCGAGGAATTATTATACGATATTACAAGCTTTTTATTTGTCTTTTTTTGGGTTACAAAATTTTTTAAGCTGATTTATATTTCTAAATTAAGTGATGGATAGCATATATGCATAAATACAAATAAAAAATTTCCTTAGGATAATAAGTTTAAAGCCATGATCAATGTTATCAACATTATCTATTTATTGTATGATCATCGACCATTTGATACAATATGATTATAATAGGATTATAATAGGACAGTCACTATGACTATTGTCCCCAAACTCATGAAAAAAACATTTTAAATAATTAATCTGTAAATAATAAACACACGATTTGAGGAGTTTTATTAGATTCGGAACTTACCTTCTGAATTATCAAGATTTCAAAATTACATCAGTGAGAAACTTGGGCTGAGAACGCAGTAGAACGCCGGCTGTGTGATATCAGAATATCTCCTCCTTAACAACTCCTTTTAAAGTATCCCATATGTTTCTGTATAATGTTTAAATGGAATTTACTCAAACGCCACCAATCATATTATATGATAAACCGTGACGAAACTTGAGCCAAACATTTTACAAAAAAAATTTTTTTCCATTAAATCACAAAAAAAAAAATTTTTTTTTTCTTTGTCCTTATTTCAAACGCAAACATATCAGCCCCTCCCCTCCAACAATTTCGCCCAATAGTTCTTCCTTCTCAATCTAAAATCTTTCGGGAATTTGTCAAGCATAGCTTTAGGATATATACTCTTTATCCTTTTAACTATACTGATCACTTCTCGTCCTTTACCAATCTGTGCCTCCAAGTTGAATCCCGCAGCTTCCTCTGCAACTGCCCACTCTCCTATGTTTGACCCTGGTTAGCTTTTGAGAACTTTTTCGTTCGAGCCAGCCGCTTGCTTAGCCGTCGCGTTTTTTCCTTCCCCCGTCTAGGTTGTCATCTTTTTTACCTGATAGAAATTAATATAGTAAATTACATCCGGACTTGTTGAGTCATTATTATTATTATTATTATTATTTTATTCGAGGTGAGTCTTTTACATCTAGTAAAAATTTTCGCTTGCAAATCTTTTTTTTTTATACCTTTCAAAGCCGGTGCAAAGCTTTTGTTCCTTGTCTAGCATAAGTCGCCTACGGCGAATTGGGCTAGCGATAATATAAATAAGTATATAAGTATATATATATATATAATATTAAAATAAATAAATATATATATATAAAATATAGTAAGCATAAAGGTTCCTTTTGGGTATTTCCTATGAATCAAGGAATTCAACAGAGAACAAATTTTGTTAAAATATTAATTTTGTAAAAAAATAGATTGTTAAACAGTCACTCGCTTATCTACCATCCTTCATTGAAATATGTGAACGATTACTTATATTCAGAGAAAAGAAGTAGAACTATTTATTCAACTTACCACCGTTCGAAAGACTTAAGTTACTCGGTTTAAACCAGATTTTTAATACTCAAGGAAAGTCAAGTTATATAAGAAATATTCAGCCTCATGCCAGCGATGCGAACTAATAGAGGTTCCGGCCCTATTTCGGCTGGACGGTCGCTCATTAACCCTCCGACACTTATTGAGTATAATAATCTTCGTTTCTTGATCGCAGATGCTCCATCAAACAATAACTTACATCTGTATATTCAGGTAAGAAAAAATACAATATAAATATCTTTCTATATGAAATATTACGTATTATATGATTTAATAATAAATTTATTTACGATATATGTTTCATATCTTTTAGGAATTTGAGCGATATAATGTTACTGACGTTGTTCGTGTTTGCGATCCTACTTACAACAGTGAGCCTCTTGAAAGTCGTGGAATCGTAGTCCATGTAGATTTTTATTCCTTTATCATCTATATTATGATTCGCGTCGAAAATTTCTTTAATCATTTTCCTTTTTATTCCTATTAGGATTGGGTGTTTGGTGATGGTGAAGCTCCGCCATCTCAAATAGTTCACGAATGGCTTGATCTCGTACAAAGTCGATTCACCGAGTGTTTTGAAGGTACGGAAAATAAACCTGCTACAATCGCTTGTCATTGTGTCGCTGGACTTGGACGGTAAGAAATGGATATCTCTTTTTGATTTTGAAACTATGAATCATCTTTATTAAAAATTATTATGATCTAATTTTAATTAATTTTTATTATTAGCGCTCCTGTGTTAGTTGCTATAGCCTTGATTGAGTCTGGTATGTCACCTCTTGATAGTGTCTCATATATTCGCCAACGGCGCAGAGGTGCTATTAATAACAAACAGCTCAAATATATTGAGAATTACAAACGAAGATCCAAATCCGGCAAATGTGTTATATGTTGACTCTATGATCCTTCTATATTATTTGAATTTTTTTCTTTTTTCTTGAAAGATAATTTTTTGTGTTTGACAACGGGTTGGGGTTCTAAACAAAGCTGTAAAGGTAGTAAAAATCGTCATATTTATACTAGTTGGAAAGGCGGTCGGAAGGAAAATATTAGACGAGGAAGGAAGAAATCTCGTGGTGTTTCATCATCTATCTCCTTATCATCACGTATCCTCTCTTGCCCATCCCGATCACCTAATTCTCAAAAATTATCTATTAACACCACCACCCTTGTCCACAAAAGTTTTTTACATTCATTTCTTTATTATATTCCTTATTATTCCATTAGAACTAGTTCTTTTGATTTAAGAACATTTTATCTTATTAATTTTGTAGTTCATTTTGATAATGGTTAAGAAAAAAAATTTGAAAAATAAATGAATTACGAAAAAGTATCGAAAACATCACTTTTATTCTTCGAGTGTTTAAATTGTTTTTTTATCTTGTTCCATTTTTGTTATTTTTTTACACCAAATTTTTAATTTTTACACTTTGCAGGAAAACAAGTAAAATTAAATCATTTATTTTATTTTTTTTTGTTTTATTAAAATGTGTCGTGTAACAAAAAAAAAAGTACTTGGTGTTATTATATGCGTGTAAAGACTGTGTGACACATTCATAAATTTCGGATTTTCGCAGCTTGTACTACTTATACACTATATAAAACTTTGATCCAGCTTTTTATATAATTCAAGACAATTTTAAACTAAAAAGCTTTTAATACGATTCAAGAATATAAAATGGCAGGTGCAAAAGGTCCACATGGCTTTCCTCTACCCGGTAAAACACACCTATTTTTCTCCAAGTTTCTTGGAGCATCCATGGCGTTCTGTATGTAGTTTTTTTTTAATTTTATGCGTGAATTTTTTTAAAAAACAATTTTTAATGATTCCAATTGGGCTTTTCTAGGGATATTATATCGAGGAAAAAAAGAAATGCCAGTACTCCTGGTTTGTACACTTAATTAATCATTTTTTTTATTGAATTTTTCAAAAAAGATTCGATTTTTTTTTATCTTTGGATTTAATAGGGACTTAGACATCCTTGGGAACATCATGGTCATGACGGAAATCACTCTGAATCTCATCATTAAAATAATTCAATTAAAAAACTATTATTTATAGAAGATAATAAATTCATTTTTGTCGTGAAAACATTTTTCATTTGCATCAATTCATGTTTCTTGATAATTCCTTCTGTTGATTTATATATAATATTATATCTCGAACATTTAAATTGATTTCAATGAAAGAAAAAAAAATTTTTTACACAAAACATCCAATTCAAAAAAAAAAAAAAAAAAGTATTATATTGTTGAAGGAAGATTTCAAGTGCTTTTTTTTTTTAAAAAAAAAAAACAAGACATTAACAAAGAAAAAAAAAAGGAATGATATAACTAATATCCTCCATAAAGAGAGAGATTTATATATATTTTTTTAATATACTTAATCAACTTCTTGAGTACTAACGCGAGCTTTAGCATTGGTAATTCTAATATTTAATTGTTGAGCCCTTCCAATTATTGCAATTCTCTTTCTTGAACTTACGTTATGAGCAATCTCGGCAGCATATGTTTTGTTATGCATAAGTAATAATTCTAATTCTCTAACATTAGATACGAGAAATTTTTTAAATCCATTAGGCATTAAATGACGAGTCTTTTTATTTGAACCGTAACCAATCTTTGGCATTGGAAGTTGTCCTTTAAATCTACGTCGAACTCGATTATCAATACCCTTTGGTTTTCTCCATGCTTCCTAAAAAAAAACAAATAAATTAACAAATAAATATATATATATACATATTGATTATATTTTAATATAAAAAAAAAATAAAATAAAATAAAATAAAAAAATACCTTTACGGATTTATATCGATCTGATTGATGCCTGATAAAAGGCTTAATGCGCTTCTTGACAATCTTAACCTTCTTTACAGGATTAACCATTTTTTTCTAATTGAAAAAAAAAACAAGTGAAAAGTCTAACTATTAATTTTGTTCTTAATTATAAGATCGAAGATAAATCAAAAAAAATAATAATAATAATAATAAATTCTAAAACTAAAATAAATCATCATAATAATCATAATCTATTCAATAAATCATACTTATTTATACAGAGGAAAATAAAATAAAATAAAATAAAATAATTTATTTATTTTGAAATGTCAGAATTGTAAAGTTTCTTTTAAAATAAGTCAATCAAAACCAATTTAGAAATTAATGATGAGATTAACATTATAAAACAACTTTCTATATAATAAATGTCAAATTGTAAAGTTTCTCACCTAGAAAAAAACGGATGGGATCAAAGAGGAGGAAACGAAATTAGCAAAAAAATTTAAATTTATATATTTTTTTAAACCAATCAGCGGTTATCGATATCGATAAGTAATTTTGAACATCTGTAAGGATTTAACCAATCAAAAAACGATTTTAAAATTTTATATAGATTTTATTAATTACTGACATTTACAATTTATTAATTTAATAAATAAATATGATTAACGAGAATTTCTATGATTTAAGAAATTAATTAAATCATATTTTGTAGCAACACCTAAACACCATTTTCTTTCAGAATCAGTTACAACAGCAAAACTATGCTTTTCAAAAAATTTAGCTAATTCAGACAAAGGAGTATCAGGTGTAATTAATTGATAACGTTCTCTTTTACTATAATTGGTTCCATTTCCGCCAAATGAAAACAACCACTTAGAAACAACATCCTTTGGTGCTGCTTCTCCTGCATCTAAATAAGTTTGTAAGGATGTTAAAGAAACATACCCAATTAACTTTTTATGAGAATCAATAACAGGTAATTGTGAATATTCTCTTTCTAACATTAATTCAATTGCATGCGATATTGTTATATTTGGTGGAATTGTAACTGCTGCCGGAAGTTGTAAATCTTCCACGCTCGCCTAAAAAAAAAAAAATTTTAAATCATCTCAGTTACCTAACATTCAACTGATTAGAAATATATCAAGATATTTTTTTTTTTTTACGTACAGCTCTGTATTTTTCACTTCTTTGATATTCAAGTTTTCGAATCATCTCGTCATCCATAAGGTCATTCTCTAGAAGCCACTCATCTGATAGCAAAGTAGTACTGTAATTTCGAGCAGTATCATTTAATATGCAAAGAATACGTGTAGAACTTTCTTGCGCTATAGACCGTTGTTTGATATATGATAAAGTGGCACTCATAACAGACCCAGAAGATGGTCCTATCGTTAAGAGAATTTAGTTATAAGAAAAAAGTCAAAAGAAATAATTAAGAATTTACTCTTTACTTACCTGCCAATAATCCGTCATTAATTAATTTTCTGGACATAGCAAAGGATTCTTGATCGCTAACTCTCATCCATGAATCAATCAAGGACATATCCAAAATGGTTGGGGTAAAATTGTTTCCGATATCTTCAACTTTTCTATCCTATCATAATAAAGGATAATTTGTAAAAACATATAATCGTTATAATATCCTTAAGTAAATTGATCATATACTTTTACAGATGATGGATTGATAGGCTTGTTATCTTGTATTCTTGAGTGTTGAGGCTCGACGGCAACTACCTATTTACGTGATAAATTCAAAATAAGATGGGCAATATCTAAATCAGACATGAAATTGGTAAAAATTATATCAAGATTTTTTTTTTTTTTTGGAACAATGATTACCTTCAATCCGGATATTCGAGATTTAAGGTTCTTTGCGAGCCCAGTAATTGTAGCTAAAAATTAGAATCAAGAAATTCATTTCTAGCACATGTATATATTGTTGTAAATAAAATATACTTCATACCTCCAGATTCTACACCAACCACAAGCACATCTAATTTTCCTTCCATTTGTGTATAAATTTCTTCTGCAGTTTCTTCATAGTGAACTTTAAAATTACTTTGACTATTGAACTAATATATTAGAATTAATTAATAGGTTTTTAATAAAAAAAAATTTATCTTAATCAAATAATTACCTCGTCAATTACAATTGAATTTGCAATTTCACTTGATAATTTTTTAGCCAAGCTAAAGTTGCTTTCTGGAGCATCATAATGGGCTTCTGTTTGTGTTCTTATAATTTCGACTCCTAATGCCTTTAAAATGTGGATTCGATCTATTGATGTACGTTCAGGTACAAGAACTATTGTTTTATATCCTTTTTTATAAGCTAAGAGTGCAATACTAATCCCTATTAAAATATAAATTAAATTAAATAATGATGATTTAAATAAATATGAATTAATTCATTAAATTGCATACCTAAATTTCCACTTGTAGGGATTAATAAAGTTGTTTTAGAGTTTAATTCCTCTTTTTTTTCAACATCTAATCAGATAAATATATAATGTATGTATGTATGTAGTTTTCATCGATATAAACTAAATTACTTTAAATATACCTTCTAATATTCTTTTCGCAACTCTATCTTTAATACTTCCAGATAAGGAATTCAAATATTCCAATTTGGCCAATAATTCAATGTTTGATAATTCAATTGAAGAAGGTAATGATTTTATTCGAACTATTGGTGTATTACCAATTGAATAAGATATATCGTCGAATATTGGTGGTGGCGGACGCGAACTAGACATTTATTAATTTTTATTTTATTATTTGTATTATTTATAATCAATTATTTTAACGAGGGAACTTTTGAAATATAAAGAGGGATATTGCAATAAAGAAATAATTTTGTATTTTTTAGAAATGTTTTTTAAAGGACAAAAGTTTTGAAGTAGATCACATCGGATCAACAATTGGTTACACAAATCGGCTTAAATGATTTAACGTTTTTCCACTATGCAAGCATTTTATCAAAAAGCAAGGATAAAATGATTCAAGATAACACTTTACCAAAAGAGCATCTTAACCCTTGCTCAAAAGCATGAAATATGTCTTGGAAAAACTAATGAGCCTTCTATACAAAATAAAGAACTAGCAGAAATATATAACGTTAGCAAAGGATGCATTTAAAAAAATCACAAAAATGAAATAGCACCCGCATAGAATTTTATCTTTATTGCTTGATTTTCTGCATCACAAGCTTTTTGATATGTTAGCAATGTTTTGCTTTTTGCTACAGATAGCACAACTACAAAATTTCTCTCAACGGTATTTTCAGTGACGGGAATTGGTTTTCCTATCACAGAAATTTAGTCACATGATTTTCTCAGATTAATACATCCTATACGAAATTCTCCACTTCCCTCTTCTTATGCGATTGAAATTTTTTGTCCTGAATTACAGAAGATAAATCTTGGGTTGCAAAAGATTTATTTCTTTATTCCTCCGCCTGATCTCATTGCAAGTTTAAATCAAATTGTTTTTCAAAAAATTAAAAGATATTTCATACCAAAGTAGTGAAAATTCGATACCATAAGTCAAGGGTACCATTCTTGATTTAATTTTCTGCATATTAAGCGCTATTGAAATTTTGGAATAAATTCTCATCAATAAAACAAAAATTGCGATACGTAAAAATCTAATCGTACTGTTGACGAATGAACAGTTTTCGATGACCCAGCTGAACTATTCGATAATGTTTGCTAACGAATTCAATCAATAATAATGAAAATGTTTCCAGAGAATTTTTAAGTGGATTAAAAAATATAGCAAAAAGTATATAATAATAATTTTTTTAATTTTCTTTTGTTACTTTCTAATTTTTTCTTTTTTATAATTGGTCAAGATCCGAGATATACGGTTATGATTCAACTGAGCTTACAACTGAACAAATACATAAATTGAATAATCAATCAAAAGATATTACATCACGCTCAATTATTTTGAGCTTTATCAGATCTTGCACATTCACTCAAATAATTTACCCGATCGTATAATTGGAAGATCATTTATGGGACCGTATCTTGATGAGAAACCAATTATATGGAAAAATGATTATTTACCATTGGTAAAAGATGAATTCGAAAGCCTGAAAGTTATTTTAGAATTTATGTTTTATTATTTATAATTCTGATACAAAAATCAAAAGGATATACAGGTTTGGATGATCAATAAAGACTCTCTTTTTTTTTATTGAATTTGATAGAGACCACCACATTCCAATTCAAGGAATGTGCATAGCCGATTCCTCTTTCATTCCAAATCAGGAGACGGAGGTCTCCTGCACGAACGACAGGCAAATTACCTATTAAAAGAGTTAGCCTCCACGATATTAGAGGTAATTTTTGAAAAGGGCAGTAATATATTAGGTCATATATCAGATTATATATTAGTATCTTACTATATAAGGTAATAAATATTACTTGAAGATAGACTTTATAGTATCACTACCTCAAGATACAAAAAATAAATTTATCACGTGAAATTCGTGTATGTTCATACCCCAAAATTTCTTTACCCTAAATTTTTTAACACGGATATTTAAAGGTTTTACCTTTTTTTTTCGTTCATTCTCCTCTCTTCTGCAACTTCTCAACAAATATATGTACACGCGAAATAATAAAAATATCAGAGATAGTTCTATTCTTATGACATTTTATTAATCAAAAATTTTTTACTTTATACTCTTCCTCCTTCTTTATTAGTCGGTTAGGCTGGTCGTCCGCTCTTCGATTTTTGGTTTAGGTTTACAGGATTTTTAGGTTTGCTTTTTGTGTAAGTTCCATTATTTTGTAAGTTTGCTTGTATTTTCCGTAATCTTCTGCCTTTTGTAGGTTCGTGGATTTTTTGCTTATGGTTTGCCTTTTGTAGGTTCGTGGATTTTTTGCTTTTGGTTGCCTTTTGTAGTTTCGTGGATTCTTTGCTTTTGGTTCCAAGTCATTCGGTAAGGATCTTTTTTCCTTTTTTTTTTGTTTGCGTGCACATATATTTGTTTTAGGAAGGTCAGGTAAACTAAAGAAAAGAAAAATATTTGTTTCGCGTTTTATTTTGATATATGTAAATTGTATATTAGTAAAACGTTATGTATAATATAATAAAGATCAAAACCAGTTCATTTTATTTGAAATTTGAAACAAAAAAATTTTTTATATTGTGTTATCAAAGTTTTTGAAATGTGTAATCTCGCGATAATAGTATAAAATAAATATGAAATTTTTTTTTATTTATTTACGTTCTTTGAGCAAGTCCAGACCAAGTTTTTTAAATTTTCAACCTTTCAAGCTCTTAGTCTCGTAATCTCTATTATTCGTCGAAATGTTCTAGCGATTATAATAGGCGTCCTTGTTCTTTTAGCTTCAAGATGATTTCTCTCTCTTTGCCTTGCAACATGAACTTCTTCATCTATTAAAAGTACGTTGTGAATTCCTTCTTCTTTCCCTAGAGTCATAAATTGATATTTGGTACCTAATCTGCTATCGTTTAAAGTAGGTGTTAAAATAAATTAGTTTCATCTAGAACAATGTTTGCTGATTCTTGAGGTCCAGATTCATAGTCAATGAAATTAATCCGCAAATACCACGCGTGGTGATTTAGCGACATTAAAAAATTTTGATAAAGTATATTGAGGTATTAATAAATTTACTGTAGTTAAAGGTTCTTCTTCGGTAAATGAATGAATTCCACAAAAATATATCGGGATCAATAATTTATTCAAATATTTATAATATTTACAAGTAGATGATTTATAATAGACAATCTTTTGAGAATTTTTTCACATCGATTTTATAAATATAAAATGCGTGAGAATATGATTTTATTCAGTTAACATGATGTTGATGTGAGTTTTTTTTTAATATATAAATATATTAATGAAATCATCACTGCAGAAAAATCAAAAAAAAATAATCTTTCGTTATATTGACATTTCCATTTTGATATTCACAAATAATTCAAATATTTCGAAAGAAGTTCATGTAACAATTCGTTCAAATTTCTGAGGACTAAATTAATTTTCTTATTTTTGTACCGCATAGCAGTATCACATTACATCTTTTTTTTTTTTGAATTTGCGGTCAAAATATCAAATAGGGTATAAAAGAGTATTCTTTTCCTTCCACTTACCATGTGTAAAAGTTGTAATTCATGATTTTTAATAAATGTTCAATAACTTGAGTTCCAGTAGCATCCTTCTCATAACCACATCCATGTAAGCTGTACCCTCCTCCATGCATACCAAAATATTTCTCCAACTCATACCTTCATACAAATTTTCTGGCCATCTTTTCTTCGATCTATAAATGAATTTATGAAGGGGTCAGGTGCGTAAATTTTATTATGAATTATAGGGAATATACAGAGAATGACCTGTCAAGATAATCTTTAAAAGATGAAAGGTTGCTAAAAAAATTTTTCAAATTCTCATACTACACCATTAGTTAAATAATTATTAAGAAAGTTAAGTGAGGAAGTTTTTAACGAGACCGAGAAATCATTGACTATATTGAACGTTTATGAAATTCTTGATCGCGATGTGAGACGATAATGGTGAATGTGACAATAATAAGTCCAAATGTTTTACTTCTTTCGCACGTTTTCAAGGCTAACTTTTTACCAGTTTTTACAGAATGATTTCAATTTCTTATTTATTAGATCAATTTATTCGAACTGAATAAAGACTTGATATCATGATAAATTAATCAGTTCGATCTTCTTGAAGAAAGTTTCATTAGTGACATTACGCAAGTACTTGCCACGATCGCAAAAAAAGTTGAATGTTTAATCGCTGGCTGCAATGGCCCATAATTAAAGATAGGCACCATAATTAAGAAGTTGCAACTCGGTAAGTTGCAACTCCTTGTAAATTTATTTTAATATAAAAATTCATAAATAGTTGCAACTCAAAGTATTGCAACTTAAGTTGCAACTAGTTAAAAATTTTAAAAATAATTATGGGAACCATCTTTACCCATAATCCTTCAACTGATATCGAAACTGATATTGATCATTTAATAAAGGAAATTATTACTTTTATTACTTGTTCAATGTTTGTTTTTTAAAATTCTTATTTCTAAATTTCTTTTAAAAAAATTAAAAATAAAATAAAATAAAAAAATTGCTTGTTTCATAGAGTTGGTCCCCAAACAATTTCAAAATCCTTTTTGATAAAATCCAATAGAGTCTAGCTACTGATATTTTAAATGACTTAATTCTTGTATTTATTATATTTGCAGAATTTACAAAGATTTCAAAAAGAAAAAAATAAAATAAAATAAAAATAATACATTCACAAAATACAATATATTTATACAGAATAACTAATACTGAAAACTTCAATAATACAGATATATAAATAATTTAAAATTAAATTTTATAATTTCACCTATATATGGATTCTTTGGTTGAAGTTCATAAGGAGTAATGGGTACAGCAATACTGTTGTAAAACTTTCTTGTATATCATTCCAAGAAGGTAATCTCGATCTTCAAACCTTCTCTAATAATTGTTGTTTCTTTTCCTTCTTAAGTTAACCAAAAATTACATCTCTTAATCAAACTATTTAATTGTGATAGGCATTTTTAAAATTTGAGTATAAGGTTAAACAATTAAAAAAACAAAAAATACAATAAAACTTTTCTTATATAAAATAGTATTAAAACATGTTAGAATTCAATGAGTTGGCAAAAGATCTAATTTTTATATAAAATTCAAAAAAATGATCTAATTTTTTAGCAATTTCAAAATTTACACAATTTACACAATTGAAAAAAATTTTCGCAATTTTAAAATTTACATAGTTTTCACAGTTTTGAAATTTGACAAACTTCTATATCATATCTCTCTTTATTGTATCAAAGGATACAATTATAAATCTGGTAGCCTTTTCTAACACATTTTTTGATTCTTCATTCAATAAATGAAAATGTGTGATCTTCAAGAATAATCCATTCTCGTAAAGATTTTTGTAAACTACTTTCTGTAATTGGCTAATAATAAAATTATAATTAATTATTATATATATAATATATTTATTTGCTTTAAAAATAAAATGTTAATATATGATTTACTTACTCCATTATTTGTATTCGAACATTATTTGATTATGTATTGATTAGTTAGTATACCAAATAGAGACTTATGCATTTTTTTACATGAATCCAAAGATTTGAAGTTGTATCACCATTAACTGAGTAAATTATATTCCTACAAGTATTATATTTTACAATAATATTATTGTTTTGTTTTTCGAAAAAAAATTCCAAATATTTGACTTTGATAAAGAAGGAGGAAGAGAAAGTAAGATTTCTTCATGCTCATGATTAACTTCATTTTCTGTATCATTCATATTTATAAAAAATAAAAACAATAGAAAAAAGTCTTGTGGTTAAAATTTTGGGCTATGAGAATGGCTTAATAAGAATTGTTTAATGTGATCAAAATTTTAAGCTATAAGAATAGTTTAGTTTAGTCAAAATTTTAGGCTATAAGAACAGTTTAATGAGAATGTGTAATCAATATTTTGGGCTAAGAGAATAAGACTAAGAAAAATTTTAACGTTATTTTTCTCAGAAAAAAAATAATAATAAATGATCAAGAAACATTCCTGATCTTTTTAGGTTTCTTGATACTCTTAAACTTGATTTATTGAATTAGCAAAAATCAAATTTAGGAAAATTTCTAATTAAAACTTAGCTTTACATTAATATTATCTGATCTTTACATGATTTTTCCATTGTTTTCTATTGTTTAAATCTAATCAGCGTCAAACTTATCCTAATTAAAATTTGATCATTTCTGATCAATTTAATTTCAAAAAATATGGTATAATAACATATTACAATTAAAATTAGCAAAATTTTTAAGTTTTAATCAAATCCGACATATTAATATAATAAATTAAATTAAGAATTTTGTAATAATTCAATAATTAGCAAAAAGTTGAGTTATAAAAATGCTAACATAATAGAAATTTTATGTGATGTATTAGAAAATTCATGTCGTAAAATAAATTTCAATGAATAATATAAATTTTATACAAAAATGTTAACATATTAGATATTTTAAGTAAATGCTAACATTCAATATTTTATAAAATCAAATTAAAATTTTGTAATAATTCAATAATTAGCAAAAAGTTGAGTTATAAAAATGCTAACATAACAGAAATTTCATGTGATATATTAGAAAATTCATGTCGTAAAATAAATTTCAATGAATAATATAAATTTTATACAAAAATATTGACATATTAGATATTTCAAGTAAAAGTTTTTTACAAAGTAAAAGTCGAATGAATCATTCAATTGTTCGAATATTTATACGTGTTATATAATTCATATATATAAGTAAGTTTTTTCTTTTATTTTTTATTAAATTAAATAAAATTTTAATTTTAACAAAATGTCTTTATTAAATGCTACCCTCTTCAACCTCTTCTGCTTCTTCTGCTCCTTCTATTCGCTTAATTCAGGTAATTTGTGCCAAATGGACGAATGAATCAACATGCGCGTTAATTGACGAGCAAAAAAATCGCAACCAAGTAAATATTTTATTTATAATATAATATATGTATAATATGTATAAATTGCTTTTTAAATAGTTAAGATTAATTATATATATATTTTTCTAGGAATATCATG